AGGTGGAGCAAGTCGATATGGGCGGGAACTTTTTTCAGCCATTCAAATCTTTCTCTCGTTACCATGTGGAGATTTGTTTCCTTCTTATTGGTATGGAAGCCTCCAAGACAAGCTCCACTAAATCGATTTCTCAGCCTTTCAAAAAAACCCATCATGGATTGGTACTCCTTTTACAGAGAAGTATGCGTCCATGATGTGTCCTCCCGAATGGAGAAACTTGGAGGAGAAGGCCAGGTTGTCGAAGTACATGAGGCAAAAATCGGATGGCGGAAGTTCAATAAGGGGAGAATAATCAAAGGTCAGTGGATCTTCGGGGGTATTGAGAGTGAGTCTCAAAAAAGGTTTTTGGTACCGGTGGAAACACATGATAGCAAAACGTTACTGGCGGTCCTCAAGGAGTGGGTGCTTCCAGGGACAATGATTATTAGTGATTGCTGAAAGATGTATGATTGTCTTCAAACTGAAGGCTTTTAGCACCTGACAGTTAATCACAAGTATAACTTTGTTGATCCCCAGACGGGCTCCCACACCAACACGAATGAGAGGATGAGGCGGAAGGTGCGCGCGAACGTTCCCCAGTATGGTGTTCGGAAGGAACACATGGTCATATATTTGGCTGAATATCTTTTTAAAGCCATATATCCGGACATGGCGGCTCGACTGCACCACTTTCAAGTTGCCGCTGCGAATCTCCCCCAGATGACTAGTTTCGGGAAAGTTCTATCTTAACTGTATATGCAAAAGACCCTTTTAAGGTAAGTGTCTTTATAATATAAGCTGTTGTAATATTTTAATCTTAACTTGTAATTTTAAACAATTCAGTTATTTGTCTTTTCTTCAGTAACATATCACACAAGGAACAGTTGATACATGATACAGGCTTTATTGATGGAAAAAATGCATTTCAGGGTCTTAACTGTATTTTTAAAGAGAAGATTCACGTGATGTGAAACATGACTTCATTACTGATCACTGACACTTCCAAAGTATAGCAGAAAGAATTAATCCTTCTATTTTCTATTCACTGTAGATATTGTGAAAATTTTATTATCATTGTTTTATTGTGAAAGTGCCAATCATAAAATAAAAGGTTGGCATCTTGATCATTTTGAACTTAGTGTTAGTTTTTTAATAATCTATATATAATGTTTTAAGAAAGATGCCAGTATAATTATTTCGAGGCAATGGCATTCTCGGAAGACAGAGTGAAAGAAGAGTTGCAGAGTGAAAGAAGATTTCTCCAAATGCCACGGCATTTGGAGAAATCAAGCCAACTACGGACGGTGTGGAAACCTTCTAAGAGCAGAAGGACAAGAATTTTTCCGTTCATATCCTCAAACTAATTTACCGTTACTTCTGAGTTGGTCTGTAAAAAGAATAAAAAGAAATAGACTCAAAAAATTATATATTTTTATGTATGTGTTACTATGAAAGACCGAAATTAGAGAATGTCGATATTCTCCAGTGAATGTCGACACATACAAAATACGTCGATGAAAGTCCAAATATTTGGTTATATTAGCACTTGATGGTAACGTCTTCTATAGCGTTTGTTTCACATATTTGCGTCCAGGTGTCATTTTGTTGACCTATAAAACCGTTAGTATGAATTTCTGAAATTCACTTTTGTTTTCTCGCTGGAAGTTTTCTTTGTGTGCTTCACAGGTAAGGTTCTATTTATTTTCTTTGTCATTTGTATTCGATATTTCTTTCATTGTTTTATTTAGTTTTTCATAAAAAATATAGTAATTCAACATTTAAGGTATAAACTATATAATTTTCGTAATTTTAATATATATTTCAATCTTATATCAAATGATATTCTCAATAAATTATTAGTAATTGTTTTATTTTATATCTTTGATTTAGTTATTGTAGTTGTATTTATTATAGTTTTAGCTATATATTGTAATGTATCGTTACATATAGTTTATTTTTTTAATTAAATTTATCGATTTTATGTACAATACTATCTTCGTAATGGCATCATCATCGAAAATCCCCAAGCTGTTAGAGGAGTCTGACCTCCAAGATTACATAGATAATTTCTCTGATGTAATATCAGTCTGACTCTGACACTGAGTTCAGTATGTTCAAAGGGTCAGATTCAGATGATTTGGCCTCTCCAAGTTTCCCTACTAATCAATTTACGCAATCGAGAAGTGATGACGATGAAGACTATCAGGAGGTTCTATCTCCCAAGCAACCTTCTTCTCGTCCTTTCTCTTTTCTTGAGCTAGCTGGCCCTAAGCACATGCCACTGCCAGATTCACCCCCGATTGCGTATTTCGACCTTTTTTTCACCATTACTTTGCTCAATCTAATTGGCTAGTCTTATATCTTTATATTAGCTAAACTTAAGATTAAGAATAATAACTAATAACTAAGCTTCTTAACTAATTCTTAATCTTATTAATGTAAGATTATTAATATAGCTAATATTATTCTTAATCTTAACACTTAAACACTTTTGGCCCTCTAAGTATAACTATCGATGGAAAAATAATTTGATTCTACCAAAAGTTAAGCACTGTTTTGGCCGAGATGCATTGATCTACCAACTCATATATAACTGGAATGCTTTAAAAGAATATAAAGATCTAAGAACTTATGGGCAATTTAAACAAGTTGTTAAAATATTGAACTGTCTAGTTTTGTGTATTACAGTATTTATTTTTGTTGTTTTTTTTGATTTGCTGATTGTTTATTTTTTGTATATATATTTGTGTTCACACTTGGAGAAAGCCAATGGCCATAGTGTCGTTTAATTAAATAAATAAATAAATAAAATATACTTAATTTAGCTTCTAGAAATGATGTAAACGTAATATATCGGAAATATTTGCTTAAATATTAGTCACTGCTAGTTTTAAATTAGTTTCAATGTGTCTGTTAGCCGGTTTCTTGTTTTAATTTTTACTAAATTTATTGTGGAAAAACTATTCACATACATAAGTTGTAGAAAATAACATTTGAATTTTTGCTGCATATTTTACACATTTTACGTGTCTAATTAGTCGGGGGTTCAAATTCCAAAAAGTTGTAAAACTGTCAGTGGATCTTCAAAGGCATTCCACTTATATATTATAAAGTGTCTGTACAGCAAGAAAAGTGATAGTTAACGAAGATTGACAGGGAGCTATGGAGAATAAGGAAACAAATTATTATTAAAAATAATTTCAAAAGAAAATATTTTAATTAATCCAAACAGACGATATTGTTATTACGAGTTATGCTCACAATATACTGATACCAATTTCATCAAAGAATTAATCGACAACAAATACTGTATACATAACTAACGATCGAAGCTAAATTACAATAGAATGTTCACATTAAACACTTCCAATATGGTCAAATTTTATAATAATAATTTTATTTATAAGCTTAGGAATGCGTTTAACCTTGAACGAGATTTTAATTAACCTCAATAACAGAAAAAACGTAACTCTCGTGCACATATTTGTTCTTGTAAATCATTAACATTTTAATTATTGCTATAGCAAATACCTGTAAATTAATAATTATCATCTCTTTGTCATTGTCATCCTTTGAAATAAAAAGTATCATATACGTAATTTGATTTCGAACTAATAGGAAAGGTATGTATCTTGTTGATTTGGCTTTCTTGGTTTGACGGCACAATTATAATCGTGTAACCTTTTACATTTAAGTCGTGTATTCTCTACCACTTAATACATGTTTGAAATAGTTTTTAATTACTGTTTGTTTGTTTACGCTATTTGAATAAAAATGTGTGTTTTACTCCTGCAACTTTTTCCTAGTCAAAATTGTAATTTTTTTCGATCACCGATATGAAATTTCGTTATGCATTGCTCCGTGAGTGAAGCTGTATCTTACGAAAGTAAGATATTAATTACAATATTCATAAGGCTAGTCCAACTGCCGTCGGTGTGGCAATCTTCTTCACGCGGAGGACAGAGGCAGATTTCACTACGGGAAGTATATCCGGCGGCCAAAGAGGAGTCCAGTGAAATGTGGCTGGAGTTGTTCGATTTGGTCAGGACTTTTTTTCAAAGGTCTCATCTTTAGCTCGTTACCCTGTGGCAGTTCATCCTTTCTCTGTTGATACTGAAACCTCCAAGGCATCAATTTCTCAAGGAACATTTAGGACCGAGTCTGGATCTCTCCTCCAGGACAATCGTGGATTGGTACTCTTTCTAACAAGAGGTACTTATCCACAATTGGTTGTCAACATCGGAGAAACTTGGAGGAGAAGGAAAGACCATCGAAATAAAGCCAAATTTGGACGGCGTAAGTACAATAGGGGAAGGGTGATCAAAGGTCAGTGGATCTTTGAGGGTATCGAGTGGGAGAGTCGATGCACCTTTTTAGTACCGGTGGAAGCACGTGACAACGAGACCTTGCTCACGGTCCTGGAGTGGGTTCTTTCCAGGACAACTGTTATAAGTGATTACTGGAGGGCATATGATTGTCTTCAGAATGAAGGCTTTCGTCACCTGACAGTGAATCATACTTATAATTTCGTTGATCCCTGGGCGAAGGCCCACACCAATACCATCGAGAGGACGTGGCGTCAGGTCCGCTCTAACATTCCCAGGTACAGAAGGAGGGAAGTGCACATGATCGAATATCTGGCCGAATTTCTTTTTAAGGCCAGATATCTGAAATCGACCGAAAGGACCCATTATTTTCTTCAGGCCGCTGCGAATCTTTATCTGCCGGATTACTAACTGGTTCGCAGAGCTTTGCTCGTAACGCTTCCTTTAAAAACGGCCCTTTTCAGGGCCATAATTTTGTAGTTTACTGTAAATATTATTATATTATATTTATTGTAAATATTAATGTGTAAACATTCTAGCTTATTTTAAAGCTTATTGTGTAATTTTGAATTGTTACATTTGTGAAAGAAGCATTAAGTTGTAAAAGCTTTAAGAGACACGAAGAATGACTGGACTGGATGATAAACTGCATCTGAAGCCATTTTGAAAGGAAGTGAAAAGTATCAAGAAAGCGGTATGGCATGTATAGAAGATATAAATGATGAATCAGTATGGAATGGTCAAATTGCAAGTAAAGGAAAGAAGATATTGGTGAGAAAGAAACTGGAAAGATTTGAACTGCAATTAAGCCCCGAAGTTTGATTCATCAATTACTTTTTGAAAGGTCTACAAATTTACTAACATTATTTAAAAAAACTATTTTTGTCAATGTATTCTCTATGCTTTGCTTACGAGCAATTCTTGGAAATGTGTCATTTTTATTCTCTCAATCTACACAGTAAAAGAAAAAAATTTATCTGTGCAGTTTTCGAAATGGACTTGCATGCATCATGATGCTTGTATATGCAAATATTTATGTAAATTGGAGGAGAAGACCAAGTTGTGGAAATTGACAAAGCGAAATTTGGAAAGTGGAAATACAACAGAGGAAGAATAATTCCAGGCCAGTGGATTTTTGGGGGTATTGAGCGGGAGTCTAAACGTGCTTTCCTTGTCCCTGTGGAATCTCGAGACAGCGAGACACTACTTAATGTGTTGAAGGAGTGGGTGCTTCCGGGGACAACAGTTATTAGTGACTGTTGGAGGGCCTAAGATTGTCTCCAAAATGAAGGCTATCACCATTTAACAGTTAATCACACTTATAACTTTGTTGATCCCCAGACAGGCACCCATACCAACACAATTGAAAGATTGTGGCGCACGGTCAGGTCGAACGTTCCCGTCGGCGGTCGACGAGAAGACCACATGATTGGATATTTAGCAGAACACCTTTTTAAATCAAAATATTCAAACTTCAATCAGCGTTTCCACCATCTGTTGCTTGCTGCTGCGAAGCTTTATCCGCCGGACTATTAGCTCCCGAGCAACTATTTACAAACAGTTCTTTTCAGGGCTATCCTTTCGAAATGAAAACTCATAATTTTGGTTTTGTAATTTCAAATAGTTTCCTTTTATATTGTTTTCCTATTTTGAGTATTTTTTGTTATTTTAGTTTATATTGAAATATGTAACAATAAATGTTTCGTTTTCCTTAATGCTGTGTTTGTATTCTATTCTTAAACGTTTAAACTGTTATACAAATTTTTAATTTCTTCCCTAAAGAAATAAGTAATACATTTAAAAATTTTTATGTAATTATTAAACTGTATAATTACCGAAACTAACTGACAATAAATATCTAAGTAGGCTATAATGCTGGATGATAAATTTAAACTAGAATGTTCACATTAAACACTTCAATTATGACCAGTGTTATTGGTACTGTACATCTAAGAAATTGTGTAATTATCTTAAAAATATAGCAAAGCAAAACAATAACTTATAAGGTCTGTACAGACCCGAAGATTACATTCGGAATAGTTATTTGGGAATGCGCTCCTAATTACAAGATACAAGCAGTATAAATAAATATTATTGAATAATTTACGCTATTATTTATTATGATTCTGTGTCTGCCTATTATCTACAAGGGTATCAACAGATCGTGTTACGTTAAGCAACTTTCCTTAGCCGTATAGACTACTATTACAACTATTACTTCTTTCCATCTTCTGATTTTTCTCCTTTGAGTTAAGAGGAAACGTCTGCAGTTACAGTATTTTGAAACATTTTAATGATTGAACCTTGATAATTCTATATCGAGAAAATAAAACACCGAAGTTAATTTATAAATAACATATTACTTCTTTTGGATAATTTTTGTAGATAATCTTTTCATCAGTTCAGATTTGAAAAAATTAAAATCTTCGTATCAATTCAAGAATGTCAATTATAACTAATGTCAACACACAGAAAAATATCTGCTTTATTTCAGTTAATCTAAAAGCAGTTTTTCTCAACCAAGCCCGTTATTAAATAATACAAGACTGGACATCTTACATACAGTAATTTATACTGTATAATACTGTCATATAACTTTAGATTTTAAAATCTGACAGATTAGTTATATAAAACATATATGTTTGTAAATTTAGATATTAAATTTAAGCATTATTATAAACATTTAATCTGAATTTTAAAGTAACTTAATTATTATTTCATTTGTTCCGTTTTCACAGAGTTAAAATAGAAAAATAAATTGTCGTTGTCAAATATTAACTTGGAATTTGGATATACTGTAGAACGTTATGATGTTACGGAAGCGTAACTATCAAACGTTTTCAAACTGTAGACCGTGAGCTGTTCGACATGACAAAAGAGTTAATCACGTGTTAATAAGTCGTTTGCTCTATCACGTGATTAGTGCAAAGAGAACGGATTCTTCCGCGAGAAGAAAAGCTACACGGAAACGCATCAGAGACCTAGTCACGTGACAGAGTGACGTCGAAATAGGGTCACATGACACAGTTTGTGTGGATCCGCCGTCCAGTGTACACCTCCACGACAAGGCAAGCTTAAGCAATGGTGTCTCGAACTGGGAACAACCGGTAAGTAGTCCTATGATTTTTCATTTATAGCACTGTGTATACGGGTCGCCCGGAAAAATGTTATGCGTTTTCTGAATGTATATTAAATATACATTCTTTTAATATAATCTAATTTAAAAAATTCATATTCCCTTAAAATGCATAATTACCCACCTCGTAATCATGCTGCTTCCGAGACAAAATATTCTGCAACAAACACTCGGTGTTTCTTCGCATACAGTCGTGGATTGGGCCTCTTTTCTCAGAGAGGTTTATATCCACGATATGATGACAACGTCTGAGAAAATTGGAGGAGAAGACCGAGTGGTGGAAATCGACGAAGCGAAATTTGGAAAGAGAAAATACAACAGAGGGAGATTGATTCCAGGGCAGTGGAATTTTGGAGGGATTGAGCAGGAGTCGAAACGTGCCTTCCTTGTCCCTGTGAAATCTAGGGACAGCGAGACACTACTTCATGTGTTGAAGGAGTGGGTGCTTCTGGGCACAACAGTTATTAGTGACTGTTGGAGGGCCTACGATTGCCTCCAAAATGAAGGCTTTCGCCATCTAACAGTCAACCACACATACAACTTTGTTGATCCCCAGACAGGCGCCCATACAAACACAATTGAAAGATTGTGGCGCACAGTCCGGTCAAACGTTCCTGTCAGCGGTCGACGAGAAGACCATATGTTAGGCTATTTAGTGGAACATCTTTTTAAAGCTAAATATAAGAATTTAAGTGAGCGTTTTCACCATCTGCTGCTTGCCGCTGCGAAGCTTTATCCCCCGGAATATTAGTGGAAGTTGCGAGCAACCGCAGTATTTACAAACAGCCCTTTTCAGGGCTATCCTTTTGAAAAAAACAAATTATTTTGTTTTCGTAATTTAGATTACTATAATGTATATATAACTATGTAATATAATAAATGTTTTTCTTTCTTTAATGCTGTGTTTGTATTCTATTCTTAAATATTTAAACTGTAACTGTTATACAGATTTTTAATTTCTTCCCTAAAGAAATAAGTAAAAATTTTTTAAAGAATCGAACAAAGGAAAATATTTTAAAATTTTTATGTATTAAAAACATTAATTATTAAATGGCTCAGTCAGAATGATGAATTTATGTCATTTGAGTACTGATTCAAAAATTCCATTACAATATATAGGTGACTCGTTAATTTTTTTTTTATGTACGGGGCACAATAGCCGAATAGTTCCGCGTCCAACAAAACAGCAGAAACAAACTTTTCTTTATTCTAATGAATGCACTACTGTGCCTTTTGTTTTATATTTCTCATTAATTTAACATTATAACCGAATTACTTTATAAATACCCCCTAAACTGTACAAGTGCCGATATGTCTATGTCTATTCGTTTATATTAAGTTTAAGACCTTTTTTAGCTGGATACCTTTTCCGTTACTCTAACCAAATATGGCGTCGAAATGATGGTGCAGGCACACTCGTTTAAATTTGTATAAATATTGTACTATCTCCCTTTGTCTACGATAACGTTGCCTCTACCATGAACTTAATATAAAAAAACAAAATCTTCAATTGTATAACGAAGCGTTATCGTTATAAACTTGCCATGCCACTTCAACACGTGCGTCGGGTGAAGCAACATGGCGGTCAAATGACTACAATACAGCATTCGAATAGACAAACAATAGCGTGTACCGGTACATCATTACAAAATCATATAGATAAAAATTCTAAAATACATTAAATAACGCGCTAAAGTAAATTAAAGCAAAAATTCGCTCGAGAACGGTTCAAAAATAATTTAAAAACTCACCGAAATCCAATCTCCAATGGCGGATGGCGCGAGACGTTATTCACGAACACGTGGCGATGGCAACTGGAAGATACAGTAACAACACGTGCTGTTCCAATAGGAATTCCGTGGTAAAAGTCTAAAACAGTAAACATTTCTGAAGTAACGTATGAATAAAACATACGGCTCCCCAAATCTACTTAAATTACTCGACAGTTCGATGTCTAAAGAATGTCTACTTATTCCGTATTCATCTACTTTTCCGGTTAAATATACTTTACTTTCTGGACACTAGAGGCGGTAAGGTCGGGGTGAGAATTTTTAATTTTTATTTAGATATTTTGAATTTTTTTCTATTTTTTAAAATCAATTTAAGTTAGGGATACGCTAGAAACTTTTAGAGCAAAAAAATAAAATTACTTACTACCGAAAGTGGCTGAAAGCAGAGCTTGGCACTGCTCAACTTTTTTTATTTTTGTGTGTCACGCTACTCCTTTTCGCTTTTTTAATACTGAGGGAGTAAATAAGCATGTTTTATTAAATTTTGTATTAACTTCGTAATAAAAATACAATATTTGTTAATTTATTAATCTAATGTAAATAAATATTACTTTATAAAATTACGGGGTAAGCGCTTAAAACTGTTAAATACTCAATAAACAAAACTTACTCAACACCTTGTAAAGGTGCAGCCAAATTTATTAACTTCTAACATTTTCGGTCATGTTAAATGGCATTTATCAAGAAAAAATTTTGAAATTCGAAACACTTAATACATTTGCATAAACGAATAGGCTTTCCTAACGTTTTTGAACGATATTTGAACATATAACGTAATGGGGATTTTATAAACTCCAGGAAGTGTGTTTATGTCGGTATCAGGAAGTCACGAACGAAAAAATCATATATAAAAGAAACCCTACCATTTACCAACTACTGAGATCGGATAAAGACGAGGCCGAGAAGAAAACACTTCCTAGAGTTTATAAAATCCCCATTACGGACACACGGCGACAAAATAAATTAATATATATCGGACCCACTGGAAAATCTATCGAGGATAGGATAGCGGAACACCAAAGAAACGTAAGAAGTGTACAACCATGCACAGCGATGGCCACTTACGCTTTAGCCGACCCCCAAAAAGTCGATGCCGAATGCGACCAAGCAAGACTAATACTAGTTCGGGACATTAAGCACCGTTCTTACGCAGAAGCATGGCAGATCTGTAAAGCCAACCAAAAAGGTCTCTCCATCAATTTTCGAGAATCAACTAAAGTGTTGGCGGCATGGCGTTCAAGCTTGATATAAACCCTAGTAAACAGAAGAAACAAATACAGCAGAAAACGCATTTTTAAGAAACAGACAGCTCAAATGCTTTTTACATTACTGTATGCCCTTGTTATGTTAAATGTTATATTTCAGGCGTCTTAATTTCTTTTCAATGCTTGTAGTTATTTTTTCTTTATGGTCCCGATTTTATTTTATTTTTATACTTTTTATTTTATTTTCATGTTTTAATATTAGCTACTAGCTGTTACCCGAGGCTTTGCCCGCGAGGATTTTGCAAGCAAACCCTATTTATATTTATTATTTCAACAACCATAGTAATTATTATATAACACCTACCGCTAGGAATGACGAGAATTGCCGAGAATCAAACGAACTGT